AACTTACCCCGCCCATGGGGTAAGATGAGCAACGTGCAAGATCATTTTTGACGTAGCCTTTCAGTACAAAAATAAGCGGTATGAAACATTTCTGGCCACCATTACATGCGCAAATGACCACTCTGTCCGTCCAACCCGTAAACGCAGAAAAATGATCAGTAATTTAGCCTGTAGCTTACGAAAAACAAAAAGCGGCTCAACTTACCTCATTCTGCCCTACGTAACACAATTGAGGGCATTTTTTAGGCCATCACAGTATTTGTCAACAATTGTTGTTTGGGGGACTGGGGAGGGTGGTTACTGGCTCATAAACTGTCCTCCCCCCCCCCCAAAAAAAAAGAAAGAAAACGAAACCGATCATCCGCGAAAGGAACAATTGAGCTCGAACCAAGGTGACGAATCGATTTATAGGTATGCAGGATGACTAACGATGTCACTTTTTTGACTTCTTGTGTCAAATAAATTCCATCATCTTGATAGCACGTCAACATTCTATTTGACATTTTACAACAAACGTATAACTATTTGGCGCGACTGGCCTCATAAATGTTCTGAAACTAAAACCGTTTCTTCGCAATTAACTTGGACCACGTCATCCCAGCTTATGCACGACAAAAATAAAATAATGCTTCAGGATCACTGGCCTGAATTCCAATGCTTAAAGTTTACTCAAAACCGGTGTGGCTGAGGCACTCTTCGCTACATCTCGTGACGGCCACCATTGTGTTGCATGCATTTTTTCGGTAAGCTATAAGTTAATAAGGAAAGGATTGGTGAGTGGGTTGAAAACAGCCCTCACCCCTCCCCCTCCTTCTGGAAACATAAGTAACCGAAAGATCTGGCGATGGTTTATCCACCCCGTCTGCCGCCGCGCTGCGAGGCCTCGATTCGTTCGGTATGTGGCTTCCTGAGCGGTCCTCCCCGGAGGCAAGGTGAAAGGTCATGGCCTGTATCAGAAATTTATACGTTGCTGAATATGTTTTATAGTTCTTCCAAGGTCTTGGACACCGTTTTATTATATCGGATAAGCATTGCACTTTCTTATCAATCAATACATTTAAAGAAAACTTGATCATAATCTTATACTGCGGCAATTGTAGTTCTGCTTACGGCTGCCTCTTTATGATACGGGCCACCACCTCCACTGCGCTGGAGCTCAGGCGTTCTACCCCTCCCCGCTACGGACCGGCTCTCGGGCTAGGTGTGTTAGTACTGAGCGCAAACCTGTAGTAGTCACGTGACTTTCATTCACGTAGCGGGAACGGAAGCTATAGGCGATACCAAGGACGGGCTCTGGGGAGGCAACCGGCGCGGAAAAATAGCACGATTGTAGTTTTGGAAGAATATCTGTTGCGGTAAGAGGAATTATACAAAGCATACGTCCTAGGAGCAAACATGTGTTATTCCTCCATACTTTGCGCTACATTTCCTTTCTCCAATGGCCAGCACTTAGCAAATAATAGCGCAATTCTAAATTGGTAATATATGTGTACAGTAGCAACTGCGGGTCCCTGTACCTAAACAATAATTACGAAATTACTCCGGTCACTTTTTGGATCAGGTCAAAGGTCAGGTCACAGAGGTCATCCAAGGTCGAATTTCGACAATTTTCAGGTCCAATTTAGACAACTTTTAACAAACCACCGCATAACTCGGAAATGTTTAGAGCTACATTGCCTAGGAAAAGCGTAGTTAATAGCTCTTTTAACACCCGTTTCGTCGTTCACATCTAAAGTCATTCAAATCCTTCTGCTTCTCCCCACGCCACAACCCCTGTTCCGGGCTGGACTTTATTCCATGCGGGCGGCTCCCATTGGAGCGCACCGCAGCTCCTAAGGGAGCACACCCGTAGCCGGATGCATTGGGACTTGGGGGGGGGGGGGGGCTGGTCGACCTGTCCTGTTGGACACATCGTACAACATTCACACACAAATTGATGATCCCTGTTTTTTTCGCTCTTTTTTGTATCTTTCTGACTGACAAATTTCCACTCTCAGTCTTCCAGCGTTCTTTGTAGTGAGGGAATTCCCACTCCGACACCTGCATGCCAAAATATAATTTTAGGACACTGCCTTTTTTGTAGTTTTGAGGTATAAGCAATGAGCTTTTTTCCATGGCTTTGTTTTATTGGCTTGAATGGACTAACTGGCAGTGAAAGCTTGCGCTAATCGGAGCATGTTGCGAACTCCCTACCACTGCCCACTGACCCCACCGTCTAATTCAACAATTTTTGGGGGGAGGATTAATCGGTGACAACTTCGGAGACTTCTGATGCCATTTGTCCCACTCAACTAACTCATACTGGCCGCAGCTACTGCACTAGCCACAATTATCCCCAACAGGAAGCTTGTATATCAAATGACGAGTGACTCGAAGCTGGTCACTCGCCAATGACCGTTGAGCCAACAATGGTCAATGCCCCCACCCAATGCGCTGTGGGATCGACTTCGTAATCAGTATGGAGGCTCTTGATGATAGTTTCTTAGCGTTTTTCTACCTTCTCGCTGTGAGCTGCCTGACTCATATAAAACGTCGAGATGAACGGTATCGTACTCTGATCAATGCTCTCCCTGGTTTTCATAGTTACGACAGGAGACGGGCAAGGGGCTATCCACTTTCCCTCATCACCATTGTTTGTCTGAACTCTGAAGTTCAACAGCCTCAGGATTAACTTCAAGGTGAGCGTCGCTAGATGCCAGGAAAGTACGGTTCCGGTTTGCTGGTCGGAAAAATGACGGTTCCGGTTTGCCGAGCGACGGCGATAAGTTTTCCCTCGATTATGCCTGTGCGCTCATGTGGTGAGCGATATCCCTGTCACAACCGTAAGGAGCCGGGTAACACGTCTCCGTTCGATGGTGCTGCCCGTCATCAGACATGTCTCTTTTCGTCGTTCGATGTCATAAACTGACATGTCTCCGTTGTAAACTGTCGGCAGTCGATATATTTCGCTTGGTTTGCGTGACGGTCGACATGTCTCGATTTTGGCTGTCGGCAGCTGACATGCCTCCGCTCGGTGTCGATGCGTCTCCGAGCGATTTGGCCGCTCTCAGGTGGTTTGTTAAATCGATAGCAGTTTAATCGACTGGATTGGTGGGTTTTCATGTAGCTGGCTGGACCGCTATGTAGCCATGGAAACGGCCCAAGGTGGACAGAAGGTGCTGTATGTGCTTACCTGCCTCTCATACGTTGTGAGTCTCTGTGAACCACAGCAAACCCTGCTGCACCAACGTGGCATCCTGTCTGGCAAATTTCGGTTATACGAGTATGTATGAGTTTCGACCATCCGTCCAATAACAGTGAAGTCTCGCCCCTGATTACTGTCATATGTGCACCTAATGCTTCGGCTCAGCATGTGCGCATAAGTAATAATCGGACTTATGGCCGCCCACGGGCGCCTGTGGGACAGCTGTATTGTCGTGAAAACTGCAGATAGCACTAAATTGATATATTTAGTATTTTAGTAACTGTAAGGATGCTCTAAAAGCATGGAAAAGCCATTCCACTGCAGACAGGTTGTGTCGCCTGGTCCATGCAGCAGTCGTTGGGTATGACTGGAGATATTGTCCAATGCTGATAAGGTCAGCCGATGGTTGGTGCTCGAGGTTAGCTCCGGTCTTTTTTGTTCACCAATATAGGCTGGTGCGCGGTAGTGGCAGTGTGGGGTCGGGATCAGTTCCGGCCCTCAGGCTCAGTTCACCATATATGGACCGACGCGAGGTAGGAACATTCAACGATAGGAACCGGCGCGGTGGGGAGGGGAGGTGAGGGTCAGTTCCGATCCTTAGGTCACCGATAGGCGATAGGTGTCAGTGCGGAGGGGGGGGGGGGAGGAGGGGGGGGGAGGTCAGATCGGTCATGGGTCCACCGATAAGGTGCCGCTGGGCGCGGTGCGGTGGAGGGGGGGGGGGGTGAGTGCCGGTCCCCAACTCACCGATAGGGACCGGTGCGCGCGGTGGGGAGGTGAGGGGAGGGGAGGGGCGCCGTTTGGTACTGTCACCATCCGGTGCCGCCCGCTCTCAGCCCGGCTGGCCGGACGGTACACCGCCCACACATACAGCACGGGGACGCCGAGCCGGGCAGGCCGCAATGGCAATAGGTGACGTGGACTAGCGGAGCCAACCCTGGGGGCTCTTGCTGGGCTCTTCTTGCTCAATGCTCTTGGAATGGCCCAAGCTAAAATACCCGCAAACGTAGTCTACATCAATCAAACGTAGTCATCAATCATCAAACTGATTGATGCATGCAACGCTATTTGGTTTGTCATGTGTTGAATTTTGGAATGTGTTATGATTTCAAGTTCCAAAGGATGTTTTCTGTGGTATGCATTGCATATGTATGTTATCGCCTATGTTTATTCGGATACGTTTTATCCCCGGTTGCTAGTTTAGTATGTTTGGGCTTCCCTTATCAATCATAGGCCTGGTGCGGTGAATGTTTGCTGGTTTCCATCATCTGTCTTGTGAGACCAGCCGTTCAACCCGCTCCGGGGTCTTTTATTCTCTGCTGTGATAGCCAGTTTGGTTCCTCTCCTGACTCCCAGTTTGGTGTCGGCTCCTTTTCGTCTGCCGGCCCCTGCATTCAGTCGACACGTGTCTCTCATCTCCGTAGTCGGGTCAGCCGGTATCTCCCCGACTCCTATGTCGGTCAGCTCCTCGGGTCTGTTCCAGTCGCACTTCCTAATACCTCTAAACTCCTCCAAGATTGCTTCCCTGTTCCAGTGGCAGATCTAGCCCGTACAAAGCCAAGGAGGGTCCTGCTCCAACCTCCTCTATCTTGCTCTTGGAGGAGTTTAGAGGCGTTAGGAAGTGCGACTGGAACAGACCCCTCGTCTCCGACCGGTCTGTCAGTCTCCGGGCATCTGGTGGGTGACGTCATTGGATCGCCGTCTCTGCGGTGACGTCATTGATCAGAGGCCGTCGGCGGAGCGGCCGGCCGGCCGCCCGCCGGCCCGCAGCCGCTGCTCAGTCGGTGTGCTGCCGGACCGAGTGTGGGCGTCGTTCGCCGTGTCTGAAGGCCGCTCACCGCCGCCGGCCGCCGTCTGTGGTTTAGTGCCTCTCGCGGTGTCTGGTCGGTGTGAATTGTACCGCCTTCTCAGTCGGGTCAGATCACTGCCTGCTCCCCCAGTGCCCCGGCGACCTCATCTTGTGATCACGTACTCCGTGACCTCGGCGTCGACATATTCGCGAGCACGGCGGCTGGCTTCCTGACCTCACCAGACACAGGACGGACGTGGCTGCGGCCGCATTCCCCTCCCAGTGAGTAGCCGACGGTGCTGTGACCGACACGGAGCTATCGGCACTGCGTGGGCGAATCAGCGTCGACAGGGACCGGTCGTCGGTGGGCAGGACCCGGTCAGAACAGGACCAGTCAGTGGACTGAGAACAGCCAGCAGTGAACGGGACTGGTCAGCGGTGAGGAATATTGGTGAGCAGTGAGCGCTGAGCACGACTGAACAGTGAACAGCTGTTAGAAAACAAGACCCGGATATCAGTGAACCCTGAGGAGTGAGGAGCACTGATCAGTGATCAGTGAGCACAACCAGTCAGTGCTAGACCGGTCAAGACTCCGTGCGCGTGCAGCTCCGAGCGCCGTGCTGTCGTGTGCCGGACAGGATCGAGGCAGCGGCTGTCGGCTCAGTCAGATTCCTGTCTGCCCGGGACTGGCCTGACCGGTGTCCATTCCGCAGTGCGCTCCACCTCCGCTACCGAGCGCAGCCTGAGACTCCCATTGGGCCCGGTGCCAGGGTAGAGTGCGTGAGGCTGGGAGAGAGGGTGTGTGACGCGCCTCCCCTACCAACGGAGCGGCGATGGCTGAGGTGAAGCCGACACCGGCGACTGAGTGAGTACGAGGAAACTGCACTACCGCGACCCAACCGGTACAGGCCACGGCGTATTGTCAATGGCCGAACCGGTTCTCTGGGTTACCGGGTCTCATTGAGTGGCCAGGTTACTCTGATTTGGTTCAAATTTGTACAGATGGAATGTGATGGCTCGGCATCACATAATTCAAAACAGAGGACAGAGTGCACGTTTATAAGAGAGTGATATTGTGCAGTCGCTCACCTGTAATCGACGGTACCATCTCTCAGTATTTATTTTATGTGCACATATGCATTTACGAATCTAACAACCCGGCGTAGATCCACACTTGTGAACGCCACCGTCGAGACATTTTTACGGCCTGCAGTGTATTTACACACCTGTGGGCGCCCTGGCAACAGCATGGTGCATGACATTCCCAGTAGTCCCCCTCCCCCGTGAGCCAGCAACGGTGGCACAGTGCACGCGAGCTCTCGAAGCCCGTGCGACCTGTGCCAGCCATCAGGTTTGTCCTGGCCAAGACCCAGCTCCCAGCTGAGGTCCCGAAGATCGACGGCCGTACACAAAGTGTGCCGTCAGCCTCGTGTCGGACAGTGAGTGACGGATCACTCGGTCCTGAGATGTCTTCATTGCCCTCTGCTAAAGTCGCTTTTTAAGTTTACACGATAGCGATATTTAGAATGGATGTCATGTCCTGTATTAGTCCGGTGCCTACCGCCAAACTAATCATCATCATCATTATTTTTCCACTCTTTTTTTGACACGCTTATGTATTCCAACATTCCGGACCGTGTGATAGATGAGCTTAGAACGTCAGAACCAAGACACGTGTGACACTAGGTTAGACAGGAAACGACAATTCGGTCGTCAAAAACTTAACGAATACGCTCGTTCTTGGGACACTGACATCCCTCGGCCGGTAAGGCTCGTTTGGCGGCTTCTCGGCGCTGTGCCCACGGGTCTCGGCCGTTGGCGGCCCCGGCAGAGTGAGAAGGCATTGGAGGCAGACGACATGCGCTAAATGAGACCTCTCCCCTTCGCATTCACTACTGTCAGCCGTGACGGTACCGTGAGTTGGCCCGTGACGGTGGCCGTGACACGTGTCGTGAAGGGAGCCGTGACGCAAACTGTGACATGACTCGTGATGTGAAACCTGTGGTGGCCAACCAACCGCGCCTGTCACCCAGCTGTGACCCAACCTGGGAATTCTTGGCTCTGCCGCCGGGCCGGGCCGTCAGGCGACTAACAAGCCTGGCTGTCGTCCGTGACCTCTGCCCTCTGTGCTAACACCGGCGTGTCCCCGCCGGGCGGTCCCACTCGGCGTGAGACTCCCCGTCGGTCCGAGCCACCGCTGTCCGTCGGCTTCCACCTGTCTGACAGAGCCGCGCCGAGCTGTCACCTGAGGTGTCACCTGGCTGTCATCTGGCTGTCATCTGTCCGTCCTACTGTCACCGAGTCGGTGGTGGTGAATCTGATGACCCGAGCTGCTTAGTCTCGCCGCATTCATCGTCGCCGTTTGTGAGGTGTCCTTCCTGGAATCGTGCCCACGAAGTCCTTAGCTGCGGAAGGGCGTTCAACCGGCTGAAGGCTGCGACGTGTTGGGACGACTTTGAGCAATGTCCCAAAATTTGTCGATTTGGGTGGGAAACGACATCCAAATTAAATTCATTTTTCACTCATACCACCAATATTTCAGAATAATTGTCCACTCCCAACCAAGAAAACTTAGGATTATTTACCAGAAGCAGTTGTGTGGATGCCAGGTTTAGCATCAAACATTCTACACCCTAGAATAAAATACATGTTTTTGTTGTTTCTCACTCCTTTTAGATCTCATCGAATCAGCAGTTTTCTACCTCCCCCCATTTTGGTGGGTATTTTTCCCCTCTGACACCCATGACAAAACTCAATTTTGGGACACTGACTTTGAGTGTGGCGAATCACTGTAGGACTGCAGTGGGTGCATTGCCCGCGACCCAGGTTTTGTCCCTCTGGTTTCTAGCGGGGTTCCCGGATTCAGGCAGCTGCTAACGTGTTACGTGGATTTACATATTGCCCTACTTTTGATCTTTAATCGCCTGCGATTACCATACGATTATGACCCTATTATTGCATGCAATGGGACCATTTTGAATTTGATGACGTCATACGTGGTGGATTATTCTCAAAGAGAGCACGTCATAGCACCTGTTTTGTCCTCGTTCGTCCGAGGCTCGGTTAACAGAGCTGGTAACGCTGATAGTGCCTGTAACCGTTAGTACCTATTGTGCCACCGAGCCCGGTATGTCGGGTGGAATTCGGCTCAGTTCCTTCTGTCGGCACGGGGAGGGGCACCGGGTCGACCAGATCAGCAGCAGCCAAATACACAGAGCAGGCAGGCGCTGGCACTAATCCAGCGAAGCCGTGCTTAGTAGGACACCGACGCCGCTCACAGTTGGATTTTCGGAGTTCTAACTGCGCGGGTGCTGTCATATTGTCAATGATGCTCAACGAAGCAAGCTGAAGCCATTGTGGGAGACATTTTGAATTACGATGCTTATTATTTTTTGGCTGCTGAGGATGACCATTCCTTTGTTCCTTGTTGGGATTCTCTGACCCGCCTGCCGTTCTGCCCGTGACCCACCCAGTTTGTGTCGCTCTGTCTATCTGAGTGGCCGTGACCGAACCCGACCCAGCCGGTGCGGGCCGCCTGTGAATGAGGCACGGAGCGGCCTGACTCAGCGCCCGGTAATGGATCGACTCAGCTGCCAAACACCGCCCTGGCAGGCGGCAGCAGACGAGCCCCGCCGGCGGCCGGCCGGATGGGCCGGGTCAACCGGCGTCCCTGCTGGCACGCAGTGCAGCTGGGAGCTGGCACACGCCACAGACTCTGTGATAACCGTCCAACCGGGGGGCGGTAACGGAACTGAATACTGATCCAATCGTGCAGCGATGGTGGAAAAGCTGTGCGTATTCTGATAAGGACAATATTCAGATACATTGTGTACGATTCAAATATATGTGGACTAAATCCAAGCTGATTCCCTCCTGACAAGCCCGTGCTTGGCATCATTGAAATCCTCAGGCGGTACTTGACAAGCCTGGTTTGGGCCTGCTTCGTTGAACAAACCTGCAAAAATATGTACCATCTCATGTCTCAAAGACCCGTAAACTCCCGGATTCCCGGCAGACATTCTTAGCTCCGCCGTTCTCTGAAACTGCTAACTGATGCATTCAGAGCTCTCACATCCCCCCGCTGCACTCAGTGTGTTTATTTATGTTCCCTGCACTTCGACATTCGCTATTGATGGCTTTGTTTGCATTGTAAGTCTCGTTCCGTCATGGGCCGGGTGCTGTGCAATCGGCTGTGAGCAGTCTCTAGTTATAGCTTCCAGCGATCCGAGCCGCTGTTTCCTGCAGGAATGAGCTCCCCAGTCCCAGTGCAGTAGTCTTAGCTAAAACGAACATTCAGATGCCGTGTTGTTCAGAGGCATGGCCGGTATCGTGATACCGAGAGCACCGCTAGCTGGATATTCGTTTTCATTACGTGAACTATGAATTAGGGTTTCGCTCGATAAGAATCTTTTCGTGACGGAGCCTTCACAGGGTGTTACATTACTTCGTCAGTGTATCGTAATCGGGGTTAGGAAATACCCTGGCATTGTAATGTAATACGTTTCACAAAGCTTGACCCGAAACGTCTCTTATGGAGTAAAGTCCCTATTAACAATTAACGTTAAATACTCGACATGTCATGAAGTGAGTGTTCATCACGCCACTCCTTTGCTGCCTGTTGTCTAACGGCCGCTGACCCCGCCACCTATCTGTTTCAGCTGTCACAAGATGCGGCTATGGAAACACCTGTACCTGCTGCCCCTGTCGGTGTTCCTTGGCTTCATCGTAACGTTTTTCACCACGTGAGTTGGCGTCGATCACACGGAGACACTTAGAGAGCATCTCGATGTCTTTTAGACAGATTCGTTGTAAAACATTTTGGGTGGTAGCTGCGTTATAAAGTATGTCATCTCCCGCGCTACTTGCTCGTATTTTAATATGCCGCTCTGCAGATATGATAACGCTTTCCCGCTGACAAGCTGCTTTCACTGGTATGTCGTGAGTTGTTTCGTGATCCGTGACCGAGTTGTCATAAGCTCACCGCACGGTTACGCCCTGTCGTGTTTTACCTTGCCAGCGGTCATGTCTCGCAGCCAAGGTCTGGTTACTGGGAGCCACGCCCTTTAGCTGTGTGGTATTTACCCCGTGTGCCCCGCCCGTGATATGGCAGAGCCAGGTCGGCGTCAACAACTGGTGGCATAGGGTATTATTTCTGATGGACTTTTGATTCGTTTAGTTTGAACTTTTTTCCACTCAATATGTCACAACACTTAACATATTGATAATGCGTTCGATCCATTTTTGTATGGAATTTCCTGATCACTATCTAATTTTAATTTGAAATAATAGAGCATTGTACTTTCTAGCCCCTTTGAAGCTTAGAAGAGAGTTGTTGCCGTGTCTTCCCACCAGCCTCAGTTAACAGTTTCTGTGTGTCAGCTAGAAGGCATTTCATGCCACCCCTTCTCTACATTACCGCTCCACTGAATGTCAGTGCTCGGATTGTCGGACTGTGCTCTGTGCTGACCTACCAACTGTCTGCTGACCGCCGCTCTGCCTCCTTCAGATACACCATTGCCGTCCAACTGGACCACGTGAAGCCGGACTTCCCTTACATCAGCGACGGAGGCGCCTGTCCGCCAGAGTCCTGTATATTCGGACAGATGCTCAACATGACGGCAGTGCTGCGTGAGTGACGGCATGGTCACCTGCTGATCGGTCACTTGACGATGGTTCTCCTCCCTCGCTTATTCGCAACCTCTCTGCATTCACCTGCTTTCTTTCATGTCTGGTTTCCACCCCACTCGCGCTCTTATCCAATTGAGGTTTTATTGAAGTTTGCCTTGCATTGAGCCAGTACGTCGTTGTGATAGTTTTGCCCTTCGTCCCGTTGCAGAGGGTCCCATAGATTACTTCATTACATCAAGTCTCATCTAGTGTTCATGCCAGTCACCGTCTGTCCTGCTGCAGTCAAGTCTCTTCGTCTGCCCCTTTGCACTGAGTCAATATTTCATGTTGCAGTGGGCCTCATTACCCTCTCCAACTTGCCTTGTTACAGTAGGTCTCTTCAGTCTTCGTCCCGTTGCATTGAATCTCACCATTTCTCCCGTTTTCAGTGGGCCTCACTGTGTACGTGCGGTACAGCCTGGTGGAGGACTACTACAGCTGTGGTCACATGCGCGCCCGCTGGGAGCGCTGGCTGAACGTGGCCGGCGCCGTGTGTGGCATGAGCGGCGCTGTGGGTATCAGCATCGTGGGCAACTTCCAGGTGACCAACGCGCTGGGCATGCACCTGCTGGGCGCCATGCTGGCCTTCTTCCTCGGCGTGTTCTACTGCTGGATCCAGGTGAGTGGAGATAAAGCTGGTGTCGGGAGGGATGTGAGCGATGGAATTAAGCAATGGCGAGCCGATAGTGTAGCTCTGACTTGTGATAGGAGGAACTGGGCGTCAGGACTGTGTGCCTTCGGAGATAACCTGGATGTGGGTAATGAGGTACAGTAACGCCGTCTTCTTATCCTGTTTTGAAGATCTAGCTTGAGTTATTCACCGGATTAATTGATGCTAAGTGCTGGTAATTGTTTAACCAGGATCTACGCTAGAATCTTTATCAGTTGCCCAAAGTCATAGCAGAGCCCAATTTGTGCCAGTATCTGAGGGAAGAGCGCTATACTGAGCTGGTTGAGCTGTTCTGTCACAAATTGATTTGCTTGAGCCATGCTGAGCTGTGCTAGTATGGTCAGAACCTTCTCTGATGTATTTCTAACCATTCCCCAGGTGCCGATCACGTACCGTACGCGGCCGGACATGACGCGTCCGTGGCTGACCTGGGTGCGCCTGCTCATAGCCGTGCTATGCTCGGTGCTCTTTATCAGCGGCTGGGTGTGCGCCGCAGCCACGCCGGCCGAGTTCAGCCACCGACTCACCAACTCAATCAAGGCGTGCAACGCGTCAGGTGGGTGCAACGGCGCGGCGCGGAGAGATGTCAGTCGGAAAGATGTCAGATAGCGTGATGCGTTGTAGATGAGTGATGGTTGACATGCCCAGCTGCTTCAATGTGTCTCAGATAGATCAGGCTCTTCTGGCAGTAAGACGTTCGATGCTTATGGTATTTGTTACGGTATGTATTTGCTTTGCCCGTCCAAGACAGAGCGTCTTTGTTACTCAAGACGCTAACAATGAATGCACGCCTTGTTCCATTGTTTATGGTTATGCTGATGATGCCCTGTTAGGGACGCTTTTTGTATCTGGTTCTGGCGATAGTGGTGGTTGTGTCTGTGTGATAATTATCCGTTTGATGGATGTATGTATAGTGTGATATGGACGTGACGTAAGAGTTCTGTGGCGCTAATGTTACACTGGCGTGACGATATGATCGGTAATACGATATGTGACGGTCCTGAGGCAACAGTGTAACGGTATGTGATGGTAGATATACGTAGGGTGAATGAAAAGTTTTGAGCCTAACATAGTTACAGGAGACGCAGATTAATGAAACTTTGGTCACATATTTTGCCACTATTGATATGGGTGGACACCAAATTGTGAAGTCCTAACACTTTTTTCCTCACTTTTTTAGCGCCTTGAATCATGCTATTTTGGATAAGTGCTCGCGGTGTCAATGACGTCATTATTTTTTGTGAAGCGTCATCCAGTCAGTTTTTTCTTTAGGCTTAGAAAGAAATAGACACCCTAAGGATGTCAATGCTGGTTAAGAGATTCAATTTGGGATACATTGGAAGGCTCAGTAATTGATTGTTAACATTGCAACCAGTGAAAAATACCCCGATTTATTGTCCTGGTGAAACACGAGCAATTTTGTCAGCATTGCCCTTCTGATCTTCCTGATTTTCTAACATAAGTGCATCAGTGGGTCATCCTAGTAACGCCCAATTACAGTAAGACCCTTTGAAAAGAAGTGCACTTGCAAGACACCTCATTTATTTTCCCAATTACGGAACAGTTTCCTCTTTGTTGTGACTCTGACATTTATTTTTTCAGATTAGAGTAGAGACGTTCTTTCACTGACTCCACTGTTCTTCCCATGCTGGATTGAAGTGAAACACCCACAGTTTATCATCGGTAGCGAAAAGTGACTTTGAATTCTCAGAATCTGCTTCAACTAGCGCCAGATGTCATTACACATCTCTCGCCGTGCTCTGCAGCAAAAAGCCGAGAGGCCCAATGAGCAGAGACCTTTCTCAAGTCATGCCCATTGGTAAGAATGTCGCCAGCTTGCTCCTGGGAGATGTCCATTCTTACCGCTATCTGATGAGCTCACAGTCTTGGATCTAGCATCCACACCCCAAGAGCAGGGTCAATGTTTTCGGATTTTGTCACATTCTAGGGCGTTTTTGATATTTGTTCATTTTGGACGCTGTTCCTGCCCTGCTTGAAATTAGCAGCTCTGAAACCTTAACAGTGTCGTATGATGGGCCACAACCAATAAGTTTAATTTGAGGTCCTTTTTAATTTCAGATGAAGGCCTGGCTTTGGAATCGCAATACTTTATAAAAGCTCGGTTCTCGATTTTCTTCCTTTTCACCGAACGCGTAATCTTCTTCACTTTAACGGGCTCTAAAAACGAAACGGAAAGGACTAGGACTTCAAAACTTGGTGTACACACCTAAAAATAGTGGCAAAATGTGTGACCAAATTTTCATTAACCTGCGTCACCTGTAACTGTGTTAGGCTCAAAACTTTTCATTCACCCCACGTAGTTACTGTAACGGAGTATAGGTAATGACTACCCTCCTCTTGCCACCTTCCCTTAGTCCTTACTTTACCACCTTACTTACCTTACCACTTAACCTTACCACCTGACCACCTTACCTGACCACCTTACCTTACCCAACCTTACCTTACCCAACCTTACTTTACCCAACTTTACCTTACCCAGGGGCGTCGTTTTGTATAGGCCTGGGAGTGCCCGAGCACTACCAATGTTCAGCTGAGCACTACCAATGTGTTGTTGAGCACTACCAACATTTTTTTTTCACTTATTGAGAAAATTGCATTCAAACATGTCATATAAATAAAATGAATGAGGTTCTTATGTATAAAATCAACATGATAGCAAGTAACTTCAATGGTAAGTGGTAACTATTGATGAAAATCTATAGACTTACTCCACAAGTAGATTGAATTTGGATTGGTTGACCAATTCAATCTTCTTGTAGCGTACCTAAGTCCATAAATTTCCATCAATACCTAGGTATCATTTTCACTTTCCACATCTTGTCATTACGTCAAGTAATTTCAAGTTATGTGGTACCTACCTACCTATACCTACCTACCAAGTTTCACAATAGTCAGGGGCGTCGTTTTGTATAGGCCTGGTAGGGCCCAAGCCTTACCAATGTTTATTTGGGCCCTACCAATGTTCGCTGAGCCCTACCAATCTTTAATCACTTATCAGTTGATAAAAATCAAAATAAACAGATAAGCAAATATTAAATAAGCACAAATGCAAGTACATAAATAAGGTTCTAGCCACAGTAGGTGCATGTAGCTGACAATGAGGTTTCACGTGTCTAGGACTCCGGTCCTTAATGGATTTTAAGAGGCTCGAAAACGCAATTGGTTATAGAGGTCCATAACTGCCTCTGAGTCCCGCATACCACGCGACCGCCCCTAATAGACCCCGATCCGTCTCCACACCAGCCGCTGGAGGCCCTACACCGACTTCGGAAGGTGCCGCGGTGCTCCAGATTAGGCAATAGGTATAATGATTTGAGTGGGTGATGCAGCCTGATTCCCCAGGGTTCAACGCCAGGTCATTACCGCATCAGACCCCGAAAACTGAAGCTCGTAACTACGAGGGGCGTTCAAAAAGTTTCGGGCCGAACAATGAAGGAGTTGGAATTTTGGCCTGCAAGGCGGTGTGTTAAATGATGTGTTATTGGGATGTCCACTTACGCAAATTAAGTAAGTGGCCATTAATTCTCTTCTGTGATTGATTCGGGCTTCTATTCGTAGCATAGTTCGCCATTTCGGATAGGATGGGCGACGCCCAGAAGAGAGCAGTGATTCGTTTCATAGTAGTTAGTGCAGAAAAGGCACCAAGCGTTAACCATCGCCCTGGGAATTTTTCATAACACGGCCTGGCAGGGGGGAGGGGTCGATGCGACCCCCCTCCGCTCGTCAACTTTCCAAAACAGGGGCACACAATTGATGATGTGCGTCCATTCGATAAACATCGAGGAGAGGCTATAGGGAAGCTGACGTAAAGTGTGCACCTGATCCGCGATCACGCACCTGCTTACATGGGCGGGATGACGAACAGTGAAGCGATGAGCTTCGAGTTGTTGTCGCATCCACTTTTTTCTCTCCGAACCTTGCACGCTCAGGGGCGGATCCAGGAAAACTCCAAGGGGAGGGTCATGAATCGAAGTGGTGCCCCTACCTATACCCAAAATTAAAAACTCAACGGATTTCGTCCACTTCATTTTGGTGGTGCCCCCATTTTCAGTTTTTTTTTTCTTTTAATTTTTTTTAGTTAGTATCTTAACTCTTAGCCACAACCACATTTACCAATTGTAAGCAAGTATATATGAATGTGCTATGTGTATATATGTTGTGGACGCTGAGTAATGAGTACTTACCAGGAACGTTATCAGGTAAGCAAATCGTTGTCAGTCCGACGAACTTGACCCTGGCGTCTAAAGGGTCTGTCCTTGACACTTCAGGCTTGTCAGGGGCACCAAAGTCCTTCCAGGGACACCACAAACCTGCCAGGGGCACCTACGGCCTTGTAGGGGCGCCACAGGCCCGCCAGGGGCACCACAGTCCTGCCAGGAAGCAGGGGCACCGCAGGTCTAGCAAGTATACACGACAGGCCTGTCAGGGGCACAACGGGCCTGTTGGGCCAATGAGCACCCCTAGGGGCAGGGGCACCACAGTCCTTCCAGGGGCACCACAGGCCTGCCAGGGGCACCAGAGGCCTGCCAGGGGCACCAGAAACCTGCCAGGAGCACCACCGACCTCGCAGGGGTAACTTGGGCCTGTCAAGGCACAGGGGCACCACGGGCCTGTCGAGAGGCACTTCAGGCTTTGCAGGGGCACCATAGTCCTCTCCGGGCGCAGGGGTAGCAGGGGCACCAGAGGCCTGCCAGGGGCACTGCAGGCCTAGCAAGGGCACCACTGGTCTATCAGGGGCACCACGAGCCGCCTGTCATAGCCAGGCATCTCAAGCTTATCAAGGCCCAGGGGCACCACAGGTCTGTGAGGGGCACCAGCGACCTAGCAGGGGCACCAGTCAACACAGGTCTGCCAGGGGCGCCACAGACCTGCCAGGGGCACCACAGACCTGCCAGGGGCACCAGAGGTCTGCTAGGGGCACCACCGGCCTCGCAGGGGCACCTTGGGCCTGTCAGGGTCACCACGGGTCTGCCGAGGGGCACTTCAGACTTTTCAGGGGCACCAGTCCTCTCCGGGCGTAGGGGTACCAGCGGCCTAGCAAGGGCACCAGAGGTCTGCCAGGGGCACCAGCGGCCTAGCAAGGGCACCAGAGGCCTGCCAGGGGCACCACAGGCCCAACAAGGGAACCACGGGCCTGTCAGGGGCACCTCAGGCTTGTCAGGGCCCAGGGACACCACAGTCCTTCCAAGGGCACCGCAAGCCTGTCAGGGGCACCAGAGGCCTGCCAGGGGCACCACAGGCCTAGCAAGGGCACCACTGGCCTGTCAGGGGCACCTCAGGCTTGTCAGGGCCCAGGGGCACCACAGTCCTTCCAGGGGCATTACAAGCCTGTCAGGGGCACCAGAGGCCTAGCAAGGGCACCACAGGCCTGCCATGGACACCACAGGCCTGCCAGGGGCACCACCGGCCTTGCAGGGGCGCCCTAGGCCTGTCAGGGGCACCACGTGCCTGCCGGGGACACTTCAGGCTTGTCAGGGGCGTTACAGTCCTGTCAGGGCCCAGGGGCACCAGGCCCGTGGTGTCCCTGCTAGGCCT